ACATCATTTATTCTTACCTGGGCCTATCCTGCGTGCAACCTGCACGTTAGTCACAATCACACCAAATCCAATCACATGCACGTTCAAATCTCATTTCACGCATTCGTTCTGATTTCATCACATCTTTTCCACACCACTCGCTAGTGACCCGCGTAATGGTATCGCCTCAGGTTCACTGCGACCAACTCATCACAACACTTCAGGGCCCGCGTAATGGTATCGCCTTAGGCCATGTATCTTGCCCGCGTAGTGGTACCGCCTCAGGCTCAACACCTACCACCTAACATGACAACACTCTAAGTCCCGCGTAATGGTACTGCCTTAGGCCATGTATCTTACCCGCGTAGTGGTACCGCCTCAGGCTCAACACCTACCACCTACGACACAACCCGCGTAATGGTACCGCCTCAGGTTGGCCGTCCTCCGGTAATACCGGGCATCGTCCCGCGTAGTCGTACCGCTTCAGGACGGATCAATTCCCCGCGTAATGATACCGCCTCAGGGATTTCCACGATCACACATGCCACACCACACACAATTTCCCGCTCATACACATGCCCCACACTCATTTGCCAATAAATTGGCCAACCACACGTGGCCGGTGCATGCACCAATTCACACACATTCTCATGCTCATCAAGCATTCGACACGGCCGATTGACAATTAATTCAATCTAGCCCGAGCATGCACATAACCAGGCATATTTAAATCAATCAATGGCACATTAATGCACCCAATTTCATCACCACAATTCAGCCACAGTTCAAACGCACAACCAACATACAAATTGGCATTTTTCCATGTCAAAACCACAGCAAATCAATTCCGGCACTTCACGACATTTTCCCACAATTTGTCGCCGGATCTAAATATCCAATTTGCGTACCGAACAAAACATCACAGCACTCATATCAGCCACCCACAGCCCGCCTTTGGCCTATAATTTTCCACCAAAATCTCCCAAATTCATTCCTAAGGCCCGCTAATCAATTACGCCACCAAAACCGTGCTAATCCACGTCTATTAAAACCCGAATCCACCCTAATTTTGTCCGTCGATACCCGAAGTCCTAAATAGGGTTTAGAGCGCGACTTACCAAATTCTAGACTAACGCGGTTAGAGCGGAAAGCGGCGGCGATCGACGGTGGACGACGGCGAGCAGCGGCGCAGCTCGGCGATGGCGCGGACGGCGACGGCCTCCTTGCCGTGAGTCACGACCACGGGAGAGGGGAGAGAGAAAGTGAGCCGAGAGGGTGAGAGGGGGACGGCGGTGGTACGGCGGTGGCCGGCGGCGGCTCGGCGAGGGGAGGGGCAGTCAGCGATGAGGGAGAGGAAGAGAGAGAGCTCTCGGGGGGGGGGGGAAACCGTGAGATGAGAGAGAGAATGAAGAGAGAGAGGAATTTGGACTAAAATAGTCCAATTTTGACCAACTTGGCAATTTACCATCTTGCCCCTCTCTAATCTTTTTAATCGATGGCCGAGATTCGATCTAATTTTGAAATCAACGGCCCGGATCGAATCTTTTCCAAAATATCCAAGGGCAAATTGGGGATTTCTAAAAAAAATCCAAGGGTATAATTGTCATTTTCCAAAGCCTGGGCAAAATGACCAAAATGCCCTTCCCTCTTAAAACTTGCCCTTAACAAATTCCTAGGGGCAAAACGGTCACTTTCCTCATTTCTCGTCGAAATTGAATTTTTCTGAAGGATCCGGGAAAATCCAAAGCTGCACGTTCCAACTACAACGTCGTCCTAACGCCCCGTTGTGACTTCCTAATTTTCTGATGTCCAATTTAGGCTCTAATTAATAATTGAATCTTATTTAACGTAACTCGAGCGTTTCTCAAACTAACGGGCGGTTTTTGGGGAAATTCGCATTTTCGACCCGTGACTGATAATAAATCGAGTCACGTACAAGTTCATTCGGTTCGTGACGACTTCGGTTGTCATTTAAATCGCGAGGATCGACCGCTAGATCCGAGGGCACGATCGCTTGGTACAGGTTCAGGATCATCCGTCAATTCATTTCGTGGTCCTGCGGAATCACCGGCGATCCACTACTATGACAGTGGCGAACTGACCCCTGGCTATCTTTGGATCGGCCAACAGTGGCTCAAAATATCACCTCGACGATTTTAGGATCGAAGATCCATTCACGATCGAATTTTCTTTAGTCGCACGAATTTAAATCCCTAATTAGCCTTTCCCTAATGGTTAGTATCCCAGGAATGATCAGTTCCGGGCGAGAACTAACTACGAGCACGTTCATAAAACCAAGCATTTCATAAATCCCAAATGGAAAATTTTCAGGATGTCACAAAGCATATCGCTTTAAAAAGCTCATACAGATTTTTTTCCCGATAAATGTTTTAAGACATAAGGAAAACATTAAAAGTGCCCCTTTTAAATCGAAAGCAAGCAAGTACGACCAAGAATAGTATGACAGCAACGGAAGACCGGTTCATACCTAACAGATGCACTGCGGCCACATCAAGCAAATGCCATCTGGTCAAATAGGTGAAAGTGGTAAAAACAATACACCGTCTAATCAACTCGAATAATTCGATCACTTCCATTCGGATTCTCCACGGAACAACTCGAATCACCGAAAGTTGAGGGGGATCAAGAAGGCAGGGGAGATGCGGCATCATAAAAATTTGCAAACAAAACACAAGTATGCCAAATAAACACAGACCGAAAAGAAGACACTCCAAAACGAAGGGGTAATGTGGAAGACGTAAAATGCACAAGTCAGAAGTAGTGGTGGCCACGGGCCGGTTTCGGCCCGAAACCAGACCGGTCAAACCCGGGCCCAGCCCGTTGACCGGGCCCGCGGTTTCGAACCGGCGTTTCCGAAAAAAAAAAAAAAAAAAAAAACTGCTACACTCTGCAGAGTCGGCAGACTGCAGTGTAGTCTGCCCTCTGCCGCCCCTCAGCAGCCCTTGGCTACTTGGCAACGGCCTGTTGCCAACGGGCAAAGTTTTTTTTAAAAAAAAAAAAACCCCCCCCACCCCCAGCCTCGACCTCGCCGGCGTCGGGCGAGGCCAGGCTTGGCCGACGCCGGCGAGGCTGGTCTCGCCCAGCCTAGGCGAGGGCGGCCCTCGCCCGACGCCGGCGACCTTCGCCGGCCCCGGCTATGGCCGGCGGAGGAAGAAAAGAAAAAAAAAATATGAACCGGCCGGAACCGGTTCCGAACCGACCGGTTCCGAACCTGAACCGGAACCGGCCCGGAACCGGAACCGACAGGGGAGGTTCCGGTTCCGGTTCATGCTTGGCCACGAATCGGAACTGCCGGTTCCGAACCGTGGCCATGACTAGTCAGAAGCTTGGAAGGAACCATAAAAGTAATCTGACAAAGCCTTCAAAGCGCTATAATAAAGCTTGAATAAGTAGATCTAAGAAGGAAATATTCCAAGAAAAACCTTTCCCATCAAGAAAGAGAGTTCACATAAATGTACATGTTCCTCACTAAAAACCAAAACAAGCATACCGGTATTTACATGTTCAAAGCATCAGAACCAGCTAGAAAGATGTAAAAATAGCATATAATTCAGTCATCAAGAAAAAGGAGAATGCTTCTTCCCCAAGGTATATTAAGGGTCTATTTAGTAACGTTTCTGTTTCTTTGTTTTTCTGTTCTTTTGTTCCCCGGAACAGAAAAAGAACAGAAATCCGTTTAGTAAAAAAAATCTACCTTTTTGTTTCTGGAACAAAAAAGTGATCCTAGAATAGATTTGGAACAGAAATAAGAAGCAAAAAAAATCTACTTCTTTGTTTCTGGAACAAAAACAAGAAGCGATTTTTTCTAGAATCCTCCAAAACCAAGAAACAATCCATCAGCCACAACCCGCCCACCGTCGCCTCTCGCCGTCCTTCGCCGCCACCTATTGCCCGCCTTTCGCCGCCGCCCGCCGACCGCCTCCCCCCCGTTGGCCACATCCCGCCCGTCGGTCGCCTCTTGTTGTCGACCACTGTCCTCCGCCGCTCGACGCTTGTCGCCACCAGCCACCATCCTTCACCGCTGGTCGCCGTGCTCCATCGCCCGACGGTGGCCGCCTCCCCCCGCCAACCACCCGACGCCGGCGATCACCCACCACCGGTCGCCGTCCTTCGCCGTTGGCGACCACCCACCACTGGCCGCCATCCTTTGCCGCCAACCATTATGTTCCACCGCCCACCGTCAGCCACCACCCGGCGCTGGCTGCCCTCGACCGCCGGCCACCTCCCGCCCCTGGCCACTCGACGCCGGCGATCACCCACCATCGGCCATCATCCTTTGCCACCGGCCGCCGTGCTCCATCGACCGACGCTGGCCACCTTTCGCCGCCAGCCACCTCCCGCCGCCGCCCCCTGCTGCCGTCGCCGCCCCCCGCTGCCGTCACCGCCGCCCGACGCCACCGTTCTCCGCCACTGATCGCCGTGCTCCACAGCCTCCCGCCGCCGGCCACCATCCTTTGCCACCGCCGACCACCGTCCTCCGCCCTCCACCGCCACCCGCCGTCCTCCGCCGGTAGCCCAGAAGGGAGAAACTCGTCCATGGAATAGAAATGGATCATTTGCGCCCTAAACACGTTTCTATTCTTTTTCTATTTCAGGAATAGAAATTTTGTGCAGTTACTAAACACTATTTTTTGCTCAGAAACTGTTCCAAGAAATAGAAATAGAAAAAACTATTTCTGATCAGAAATTATTTATGGGAACAGAAACGTTGCTATGCAGACCCTAACCAAGCAAAGATCAACACACGATGGCATGAATAGATGAATGCAATAGCAAATAGAAATTAGCTCCACATTGAAACAGTCATCCTGAAGAGCTCCCAGAAGACTCTTGAGAATGAAAAACAAAATCATGCCTCCCACCAGGAACTTTACGTAGGTCATTAGATTAAGATTCCTCCGACTACAAAGGAATCACTCTAAAAAGTGGAACTCTGATAAATTAGATTTGAACACTAAAATCTGTAAGTTACTCTTACAGGTTGACCTTCAAAAAATGCATTTGCCAGCGCCAACTAGTTCTGACATATGTCAACTTCAAGCACATTCCATTAATGTACATCAAGAGCAAATGCAAATCATCTTCAACAGTGAACAGAACAAAAAACAATACAGATGCCACACTATACCACTAGTGTCTCCATGGCGATATCTTCCCACCACCTAGAGGTATCCAACATAGCCACTGGGAGCAAGTTGGTACTCCAAATTCAAAATTTTTCCAGATCGCGCCTCTCATCACCAGGAGGGGAAAACAAGAAATGACGACCATGTGAAAAAAAAAAAGGTTTCAAGAAAGCTAAAACCTAAACTTCAAAATCCAAACCACAAATTGATGAACTAAACAAAAGGAAGATGTGACATATACTGTACAAGGATTGACCGCCAATCAAACTTTCTCCAGGAGAGAGGATGAATATGAGCACCAGAGACTTCTTACTCTCCAATATATCTGAGAATATATTGCGTTTAGCTAACTATGATTGATTTTGTAGGCTCAATCACCCAATAGGTCAATTTTGAACCTGTTGAGAAGCTTCTTCTTTGAGGTAGGGTTATCAACAGTTAGCAACACTTTGCCAAGTTCCGAAACTTTGAAGGTTCCACGCACCACCGGCTCATCCGCAAGTGACATCTTCTTGGGCTTCTGGTTATTGATTGAATATCCACCAGAGTTAGGCACAAACTCGGCACCATAACTGACTTCCCACCCAACAACACGGAGCTCCCAAGTGATAACACATTTCTGCATTTGGAAGAATCTCAGTCACTAACACTAGTACAAGTAATCCATCCATTGGTTTTTCTTATCACATAATTTGCAGGATATAGAATTAGAAAAATAATATCCATAACAAGCAGAACTCAAGCATAAGATTGAATGAAAATATCTGTTTATACCTCATAGATTATGATTTCCACAATTTGTTTGGTCCCTGGCTTAACTGTCATCTTGGTTGCAGGGTCGGAAACACTAAATTAGGGATCGCAGTCGCAATAATCTATGCTCATGCCACCATACTGCACCGGTACTTGCTCAGGAGAAATGTACCAGCCAATCATGCAAGCACAATGTTTCGACTATAACAAAGGCTCCAGGAGGAAATGATTAGAACTTAATGCACCAAAATGCGTTTGGATCTATTTACTTGAAAAGCGTCTCCACGGTTCTTGAGGGGCTTGCAAACACAAACTTGCTCTTGGTCCTATGGGTCAAAAAACGGCTGATCATTGCGTAGAACGCCAGATACCACCAGGGAACATTGATAAACACCTAACCAAAAACCCCATCATAACCCACAAAAATCGTCAATTCAAACAACAGGACAGCCGAACATAACTCATCAACCAAGAAATCAACGTGAACATACCTGCTTGGCCACAAACTCGGGATAGTTGTCCTGAAGCATCTGGAGAGCCTGCTTGTTGGCGATCCGGAGCTCGTGCTTCCCCGGTCCCAGGGAATTCTTGAGATTGCTCACCTGAAAAATAGTGCAAGTGCCACCCGGATTGAAATCGAGCTTCCGGATGCTCCTCTCCAAGAATTGGACCCTCCACCGCAAGAACTTGGCCTGCTTCTCCTCGTCGGCGAACGTCTTCTGATACAGCTCCTTGTTCTGAAACTCCCCATAAACGTCAAATAATATACTTCACAATCATCAAAAGTTACAGAAAGAAAATCAGCTTACAAACCTCACCCATCTCAAGTTTTCCTCCAGGTTTTGATCAAATCCGACCCATCATCTGGCTAAGCATCACATCGCACTGAGGATCGCGTTCTTCGAGGACATTGTTTGCATCAGCTTTAGCCGCCGCATCTACAAGATTTCGATGCATTTGTATCGTCAGTCTTATAGCATACAATTGGATGATCACGATTTCGAGCAAAGGCAAATGCAAAAAGGGGTCGTCAGCTGATTTCTTCAGACCTTCGAGACATTATCTATCCATGACGACAAAGATATGCCGAAAATCACATCATTGTAGAGTTGGAGAATTAGAACATAATTCAGAACACCAACTAAACAGAATTAGAACATGCTACCATCATGTTAAACCTAAGATTCACACAATAAACGCAAATTAATTATTCCATTAGAAAAGAGGAAATAGATCAATCGACTATCTCTCTTCTATAACCTTTTCTTAAAGACAAATAGCCAATTGCCGTCAAGTGCACAATATATATAAGCAATCAGTATCGTCTACTCTTTAGTCTCACATAACAAACATAAAGACTAATTTCTGCTCTTCTTTTTGTCAGAAAGATTGAACCAAGAATGCGCATACCCTCCATTGACATTTCCCAGGTAAATAATCTCATGCAAACAAATAATGCCCAGAAGCAACATTGCAAGCAGAAAGCCACCAGCTCACAAAAAAGGGAAGAAATCTTTCCCCAAGAAAAGCACTAAAAATTTCAGAGAAACCGAGGGATCATTCGCAGGTCATAACCTGCGATGTCGGTGACAAAAGTGAAAAGAGATTAATCTGTCCGCTAATGAATCATATTAGTGGACAGATTTTTAGGTCATAACATTCACCTTTTCTAGGGCGTCTGTGACTCTTTCCGTTCCTGTGCTCAGCCTTGCGCACTGACTCTTGAACACATCCAGCAGAAATGCATTGCGACCCACCAATCAAGTCTTTTATCCAGACCATGAGATCATAAGTCTTTTATCTGGACCATGAGGTTATCCTGCGACCGCGAGTCATTTAACTCTAGATGTGGGGAAGCCTCTCTCTCCAGTAGTTTCAGCATGCTCACCAATTGCTCTATCTTGTGAATAAAGTTCAGAAAGTTTGTCGTAACTGTGAATAGGTAGTGGCCTCCACCTTCTTGCTTCAGGTCTCTCCGGGAAGATATGCAGTTGTTGTATTCTTGCTAGGCGCATTAATACACACGAGAAGTCAAAAAAGAAAATCCAAAGAAGAAATCACAATTGAAATGACCTGGAACTTACAAGAAGTAACTTCTCCTTTATCTGGAGCATCAAACATCCTCGTGATGGCATTCCAAGTAAAGTCGACCATGAAATGTATTACTACACTCTGGCAAAATACTTCTTCATTGTCTTCTTTCTATTCTATATTCTAGATTTCTGAATAGATGGACCAAAGGAGTTCCTCGAGGTTTTCACGGTATTGTGGTGAGCCTCGCTGTTAAACAGGCTATTGTGACGGTTGCCTTTTCTTTGTTCCACCAACAACCCATCTATCAACACATCGTCCATTTCACTTGTCCAAACCACATTATCTCTTGTTGTGCCATCTCCCTCCTCTTTCAGAGTCTTTTTCATACTCATGACTTCATACCTGCATGAATAACAGTAATAACTGGGCATACCATTCTCAAAACAAATGGTGAGATAGGAATTTGAAGCAGTTGTTCAATAGAGAACAGTCCAACACGATTTCACAACAAAATATAAGATGAAATGTGCAAAACGAATTACAGCAAGTATCAAGTCTCATGCCACATTTGTGCAAATATATGCCCCAAATATCGAGACATTTTGTTAGGCTCGCAATTAACATCAGCAAATAAAGCGCCCATCAAAGGCTACTTGATAATATGCAGAAAGCAGCTGGTCAGAACAATCTCGCTCTTTGTCTGTCACGAATGTTAATTGGAAATCAAATTCTTCACTAAAGTGACTATACTAATTGCTCTGTCAATCATATTATGAAGAGCTGTAAAGAGGATGGCTCAAGCAATTTGAGGAGCCTAAACTGTAACTTATAATAAAAGTGCAGAACCATAAAGAACAATGTCTGCCACAGACAATACGCTATTAACATCGGCATTTATGCCAAAATGCCACACTGAACCTGGAAGAAGTCCCAGACGAGAAGAAATCTCCTAAAAAATCAAAGTTAACTACATTAGAAACACTATTGCTAGAAAATTGGGTAGACGGAATACGGCAGCAATAGCAGCCGTAGTCACAACAATCACAATTGGTCAGTAGACGCAGAGAGAAGCGTTTTATTGAAAGTCGAATAACATGCCAAAGGAATACTCAATGCTAACACAATTCAAAATGCCTTCCAAACATGGCATTTTGAACAGCATCCACAGTCTGCACACGGGAATAAAACGCTGGATCAGTTCAAATCTGTACCTCTCGAAGCTAGGGCAGAGCGGGGGCGTGGTACAGCTTCGTCGGACGGCAGTGACAACTGCAAGGCGTCGAGGCGGACACGGAGGCGTCGACTAGGGCTACGGCAACGGCGTCGGCGTCGGCGTTGAGGGGTGCAGAGTGAGTCGAGGCGGAGGGCGTTGGCGTCGGCGTCGGCGTCGGAGGCGTCGCGTCTGGGAGGAGAGAGAGGTTGGGAGCACGAGCGCGTAAACGTCGGCGGCGTCGGCGTCGGAGTCGGAGGCGTCGGCGTCGGCGTCGGAGGAGTCGGAGGGGAGCGCAAGTTCTGAGAGTAGATCCGGGAGGAGAGAGAGAGGGGTTTTGTGGGGGGGGGGGGGGGCCGGGGGGGGGCGAGAGGGGTTTATTTTGAAAATTGGAGGTTTGACCGGATGGGACCCCTCGACACGTGTCGCATGAAGAGGCATTCGTTTTTTGCCACAGTGGAATTCGAGCTGCACCTAATATTTTCTCGAAGGCATGGGGCATAACGTCTCACGGTTCGCATAGCAAAAATTCTGTGTCCAGAAACTGATTCTGGTCAGAAATAATTCTTTTTGATTCCGTATCCGGGAACAATTTGTGAGCATTTGAAGGCGTTTGGTAATTGCTCAAAATTTCTAATTCTTAGAATAGAAAAAGAACAGAAATGTGTTTGGTAATTACATAAAATTTCTTTTTATTAATAATATTTTGATAATATTTATTTCTTTTTTTTTTCTTTCTTTCCTTTCCTTTCCCTGGCCATGGCCGTTCGTCGGCGCCGGCCACAGGCCAGGGTCGGCAAGGGCGTTACGGCCCTCATCGCCAGCCTTGCCGTTGCGACCCAGGTGACGACGAGGTCGGCCTCGCCTTGGTTGGGCGAGGCTTGACCTCACCCATATCTGGTGAGGCCGACCTCGCCTAGGTGGCGAGGGCTGCGACGCCCTCGCCGGCCTTGGCCTGGGGCCGGTCGCCGGTGGTCGATCGCCGGTCGCTGGCGGCCGACGGCATGCCAAGAAGAAGAACATCAACAAACAAACCAATAAAGAAGAAGAAAACCAAGAAGAATCAAAATGGAAAAATTGTTCCCAAAATTAAGAAGTTACTTTTTTTTTTTTCGCTTCTTGATTCTATTCTAAAATTGATTCTGAGAACAATTTTTTGCAAATGTGTCCGGGCACAAAAATTTTAACAAACGGATTTCTGTTCCCAAACTAATTCTGGAAACAAAAAAAGAGAATTTTCACTATTTGGTAACTTACCAAACGGGCCCTTAGGGTGCGCATGGAATGCATTCCAGAATAAAAATTCTGTTCCGGAATGCATTCCGGAACAGAATAGCGTTTGTTAAAAAATTTCCGAAATGCATTCTGAAGCGATTTTTGCATTCTGGAATTAAAATGCGTTTGTTAAAAATACTTGATTCCAGAATGCATTCTTGATTCCAAAATGCATTTTTTTATTCCGGAATAAGTTTTTGGTAAGAAAAAGAGAAGCTACTTTTTGTAGCTTCTTGATTCCGAAATGCATTCTCCCTATTTTCTCACAAATTTTTTTTTTTCAGAAAATGCATAAAAATTGAAAAATTCTAGAAAAATTCATAAAAATTTCCAGAAAATAAAAAAAGTCAGATTTCGGGAAAATATGAAATATGGTGAATTTTTTTTTTAAATAAAAAAAATCAAAAATTTCAAAACTTCACAGAATAGCTTAAAACACATGTGGCCACCCACTTTGAGTGAAATTTAAATTTTTTGAGGTGCCCAAAAAAAATTAAAAATTTCAAAACTTCACAAAATGGCTTAAAATACCTGTGGCCACCTACTTTGAGTGAAATTTAAATTTTTTGATGTGCCCAAAAAAATAAAAAAAAATAAAAAATTTCAAAACTTCACAGAATGGCTTAGAATATCTGTAGCCACGCACTTTGAGTAAAATTTAAATATTTTGAGGTGCCCAAAAAAATAAATAAAAAATAAAAAATTTCAAAACTTCACAGAATGGCTAGAATATCTGTAGCCACCCACTTTGAGTAAAATTTAAATTTTTTGAGGTGCCCAAAAAAATAAAAAAATTCAAAACTTCACAAAATGGCTTAGAATACGTGTGGCCACCCACTTTGAGTGAAATTTAAATTTTTTTAGGTGCCCAAAAAAAATAAAAAAAAAATAAAAATTTCAAAACTTTACAGAATGGCTTATAATACATATGGCCACCCACTTTGAGTAAAATTTTAATTTTTTAGGTTAAAAAAATCAACAAATCGAACAGATTTTTCAAATCAATTTCTAGAGCAGAATTAGTCATGTTTTACCAAACAGATTTCTCCTCCAGAAATCAATTTCTGGCAAGAATTCCAAAAATCAATTTCTGGCAAGAATTTGATTTAATGGTTACCATTCGCACCCTTAATGGCCAACCGTCTCACCTTTGGCTCCCACCTAGTGCTCCACTTATATATTTTTTTTCTTTACATTTTTTTTCCCTTCAACTCCACCCGATGTCTTCAGCCCCTCTTCTTGTCTCCAAGTGAATAATTTTTTTGACCTAGTGGATTGTTCTTCGGTGAATGCTGTATCAGCTTCCTCTTAACCGAATGTGTTTTTTGACCTTGGGTATCTTCACACCACTATGATCTCGTGCGATCATCCGGGAGCGAGTGGGGTTGCACCGTTGCGTCCATCTCCTTGTGCTGTGGCCGAATATGACAATATATACTAGGTTCTTTAGGGTGCGAATGGTAACCATTCTGCTCCAGAAATCAAATTCTTGCCAGAAATTGATTTCTGAAATTCTTGCCAGAAATTGATTTCTGAAATTCTTGCCAGAAATTGATTTCTGGAGAAGAAATCTGTTTGGTAAAACATGACTAATTCTGCTCCAGAAATTGATTTCTGGAACAGAAATCTTTTTTGATTTGTTGATTTTTTTTTCACCTAAAAAAATTTAAATTTTACTCAAAGTGGGTGGCCACAGGTATTATAAGTCATTCTGTAAATTTTTGAATTTTTTGAATTTTTTAATTTTTTTTGGACACCTAAAAAAATTTAAATTTCACTTAAAGTGGGTGGCCACAGGTATTCTAAGCCATTTTGTGAAGTTTTGAATTTTTATTTTATTTTATTTTTTTAGGCACCTCAAAAAATTAAAATTTTACTCGAAGTGGGTGGCTACAGGTATTCTAAGCCATTTTGTAAAGTTTTGAAATTTTTAATTTTTTTTAATTTTTTTGGGCACCTCAAAAAATTTAAATTTCACTCAAAGTGGGTGGCCACAGGTATTTTAAGCTATTTTGTGAAGTTTTGAAAATTTTTATTTTATTATTATTTTTATTTTTTTTGGCACCTCAAAAAATTTAAATTTCACTCAAAGTAGATGACCACATGTATTTTAAGTCATTCTGTGAAGTTTTGAAATTTTTGATTTTTTTTTGGCACCTCAAAAAAATTAAATTTCACTCAAAGTGGGTGGCCACATGTGTTTTAAGCTATTCCGTGAAGTTTTGAAATTTTTGATTTTTTTATTTTTTTTAAAAAAAATTCACCAAATTTCATATTTTCCCGAAATCTGACTTTTTTTTTTATTTTCTGGAAATTTTTATGATTTTTTCTAGAATTTTTCAATTTTTATGCATTTTCTGAAAAAAAAAATTATGAGAAAATAGAGAGAATGCATTCCGGAATCAAGAAGCTACAAAAAGTAGCTTCTCTTTTTCTTGCCAAAAATGCATTCCGGAATCAAAAATGCATTCCGGAATCAAGAATGCATTCTGGAATCAACTATTTTTAACAAACGCATTTTTATTCCAGAATGCAAAAATCGCTCCAGAATGCATTCCGGAAATTTTTTAACAAACGCCATTCTGTTCCGGAATGCATTCCGGAACAGAATTTTTATTCCGGAATGCATTCCATGCGCACCCTTAGCTCTCGAAATGAAGAAGCAAATCTCACAATTTCCCTTCAGTTGGCCATCCACCATATGCTGCTTTCCTAATTTAGACAAAGTGAGTATATCTCCTTCTCATCCTAGGAAATTAAAATATATGCTCTTATTTTCCATGTGACCGAAATTTCAAGAGAAGATGTGCATTCTTGCCCTCCAGGCTTTCATCTTTTTCAAATTTAAAACCCACAAGAGGAAAATGCTAGTGGGCTTGGCTGAACTTCCTAATGGCTTTAAGGAAGTGGGCTTGGTCTTGAAAATTCAAATTAGATTAGGGCCCTCCTTTCTACTAAATTCAAGCTGCCAATTTAAATGCAATTCATGACCGGGCCGGTTTAAGTGAAATTTATTTGATGCAGACACGTTGTTACTAAAAAAATGTTAATCATGCCTAAGTACAATACCATACAAATTTATGTGATATTTACATTTTTATTATTGGTCAAGTTCGATGTCTAATTTTCTATGCAATAAATGACAAGACTAAAAACCAAAATTTAGGTGTCAGATATTTGACATTGCAAATTTTTTTGTGATGAATCTAATCATTCTTGATCTATCTTGGAGCAAAATTATTGAAGGTTGGGATGGTTGGAGCAACATTGTGGTTTGATATAGGGTCGGAAACATATTCTATCTCTCGGTCGTGTCTCTTTTAGACCCAGAACTAATCTTTGCATAGCCTTTTTGTCACAGATGGCAAAGAGTTTGAAAGTCCTGAATATGACTGATTGCGGATGCTCGAGTAAAACTCCTCCATTCTCTGCACATTCAAATTTAGAACAATTGACCCTGGAGGACCGCGCCACCTAAACCGAAAGTGGCAGGTCTGTTGGTCATTTAAAGCGTTTGGTTTTCTTATATGTGAAGTCCTGCATGAAACATTGTCAGTTGCCAGACGAGCTTGGTGGACTAGAGGCTTTAAGGGAACTCTTAATTAACAACACATCAGTACAGAAAATCCCTAGTTGTTAAGGACTGAAGAATCTGAAAATTTTGTGCTCGTGATTGTTCATCATAGGAGTTAATCCGTTGCATCGGTCGCTAACTTCTCTATCAAGGCTCCTGGTGGAATGTGCCAAAATTGCACGGCTTCCTCTCTCAGTTGGAGGTCTTGTAAGCCGGAAATACTTGTCCTTGAAAAGCTGCCAGAGTGGCTTCCAGACTTGGTTGGGAATTGGAAATCGATAATTGAGTAGGATATGTCTTCCCCGTCTATCAAAGAACTACCTGACTCGATTGGAAGCATGAAAAGCTGAAAGTATTGAGTATGAAAGCACGTTCCATAAGAAAGTTACCCCGAATCTTATGGGCAATGGAGAGGACACTGGATGTTTGGAAGTGGAAATTCCAGATGACGTCCGCAGAAAATCATCCGTGACGATCTTGAAACTGACGTGATGAAAACAGCCAAATACCAATGCTCCAAGAAAGTCTCATCTGTCTAAATATCATTGCTCCCGAAACTTGGAAAACTAGTGAGGGAAAGTCATTGCCTATTGATGAAATCTTTAAATCTGTTGAACTCAATGTGAAGTTTCAGTCGATAGGTTCGCCTTTTTCTTTCAGAGAAATCATTAGAGCAGGCAGACACTACAAAAAACCATGATTTTTGCGACGAATTTTGCGACAAAAAATTTGGAAAAATCCGTCGCAAATCGAATTTGCGACGAATTTTGCGACGGAATTTTTTCCGTCGCTAATAGGTCGTCGCAAAATTTTGCGATGGAAAAAAATTCGTCGCAAAATTCGTCGCAAATTTGTCGCAAATTAGCCACGAACACTATCCGTCGCAAATAATTCGTCGCAAAATTCGTCGCAAATTAGCCACGAATACTATCCGTCGCAAATAATTCGTCGCAAAATTCGTCGCAAATTAGCCACGAACTTTATTCGTCGCAAAATTTGTCGCAAATTTCGTCGCAAAATTCGTTGCAAAATTCGTCGCAAAATTCATTGCAAATAATTCGTTGCAAATTAGTCACGAACTTTATTCGTCGCAAAATTAGCCACGAACTTTATTCGTCGCAAAATTTGTCAAAAAATTCGTCGCAAAATGTCACTACAAAAAAACAAGGGATTAGCGACGATTCGTTGCAAAATTCGTCGCTAATTTGCCAAAAAAAAGTTTTTGGTCAGTAATTTGCAATGAACTTATTCGTGGCAAAATTCGTCGCTAATTTGCCACCAAATTTTTTTACATTTGCCATCAACATTATTTATGATCGAATTTAGCGACGATTTTTTATTAATTCTTTAGCGACGAACTCTGCAACGATTATCGTTTAGGGACGAAATTAGCGATGATATTTTATTTTTGCAACGAACTTTTGTAATTTGTGATCGTACGATAAAATCATTTATTTTATTTTTTGATTTTAAACCTAATTAAAAGAAAAATTAATTTTTGAAATTTATATTTAACATTGATTAAGCACTTAATATCATCAAAATATTATAATAATATGAAAATGAAATACATTCATCTACATTTTCCACAAGAATGACATAAATATTTTTCTTTATAGTACACATAATGAGAGAATAAATAATCTTGAGCACTTTAAAGCACCTGCTTAAGCAACCTCATGAACATATTGGGCCAACTGCACTTATGGCACAAAAGATGCTAAAGCAAAGCTTATCCCCGATATATATGAAAAGATACTTTCAATCTTGTGCCTGCTCTGCTTTCTCCTGTAAGGTTTGCATGGAGTGCTTCGTCACCTCCTCCAAAGAGGTGACATTCACTTGTTGACATACAATGCGATACTCAATCAGACCATCCTTGGCAAATCTCCCCCTCCGCATATCAACGCATAGCTCAATGTACTTGAACATAATCCTCTCAAGGGTATTTTGCCATGCTCGGGATCTCTTCAAGGTAATAAGATCGTGAAGTTCTTGCAGAGCATCTTGCTTCTGCCCAACATTTATCAGCTCTGCATCCACACATAAACAAACTTTGTCAGCAAAACTCCATGTTGCATAAAAGGACTGCAGAGAATCATCAACTATTCTCTCAAATGAGCTTCAAATGACACATATAATAGCAAATACCAGGTTTAGCTGAAACAATCCACTAACTTGCCTACCTACCCAGGGTACATTCACAATCTCAAAAAATAACATAAGAACAGGTGCCTTCTGTGGATTATCTTGTCTATATTTAGCACCTACCTTATTATATTACTTTTAACTATATTCTTCATCCTCGTTCATGTTGCACGATAACCATTTAATTTTGTTCCTATTGAATCAGCAAGTAATATGTTCACCTTGCATATGTATGTCACACTCATGACCTAAGTCTCATTCACTTATGTTCAAGAATGCAAACACAAGAACAACCTTCATATTGTTAAGCATCAAAAAAAGAGAAAGCAGTGTCAGACAATCTCGTCAAAGACCATGTATTAAGCTAGGGAGTTGGGGAATGGTCAAGTGATTCTCATTTTGCTTCACCATATAGGTTGGGACAGAAAAATAAACAGGATGTCAGGTCAATAGTGGTAGTGAAACAAATTACCTTAATACCATATCAACGGCACAACCAGATAATTCACCAAATAAATAGAGATGCCAACCAAGTTAGTATACGTGTACACATGCAGACACATCCACCCTCCTGCCCTCCATACATACATCAATGTGAGTGCACGAGAAAATGGCTTACCACGTATCTTGAGGCATTAGAGGATCGCAAGACAAACAAAAGCGGCTTAACTATCCTTTTGACATCCTCCATTGGCGCCATAATCCAGTGTACAGTAGCAGCAGCAACTACCACTGCACTATTATAACTCCATAGCAGTGGTGATGTACATTGAAGTAAGATCTTAATATCATCATTAATTTTCCCGGATGTATATCTTGCAGAAGTTAACTTCGGTGAATCCTTATTAATGTAAGTTGCACGTGATAAATATTCATCCGGTCCTTCAATGTACGACCTGCATATTGTATTGGCCAATTCTCATTGTTCTTTGTTTAATGAGAGTAGTTCTATGATTTCTTTAATGATACAAAATGTGGATCACATGTTAGAAAGACAAGGCAGTGGAACTAAATCACAGTGCACAACATAGACAACAACCAGAAATAAGCTTCCTACATGGCAACTGAAAGCATAGAAGGCTATCTTTCACCATGTGACTGGAAACAGTCTTGGTAAACCATATACCAAGTACATGCTTGCATTTAATCTAGCAAAGAGCCGATTAAAAGGAAGAGAAACACCTCCTCTCCCCAACCCAAAAAAAAAAAAGGCAGTAAATAAAATGAATGAGAAAAATGGGAAATCAATTTTGATGAACCACATCCTCAATCTTATTTAATAATTTTCAGAATTTATGGCACGGACAAGAAGAGTCGAGGTGCACAAACCTGTCAAGTTCTTTCTCCTACCCTAACAAAAAATCATATACAACTCACCAAGCATTTTGCCGAGACAAAAAGCAATGGAAAACAGTAATTGCAGAAAACTGAAAAGCGAAAACAACCACCTCTTCGATTGCAGAAGTATTTTCCTCAATGCGCAAGTCGAACAACTTGGGAACAGCGTTAGCAGCACACTTTCTGACATAAACAGATGGATCTCTCGCGCACTTGTTTACGGCTACAAGAACGAGGGGCGCGACTATATGAAGACGAATTCCAGCCATTGTACGGAGTGCCCAGACCCTCACCAAAGGATTAGTGCCCCCCAAGTCCCTTTGGAAACAATTGATCGAAAGCAATGCTTCATTTGGACGCCTACAAGCATCAAGAAAGAGTAAACGCGAACGATCAGCTGAGCACTAACATCTAAATCCAATCATCCACGTCAAGGTGATTAAAATTCAAGTACGGGTGACATTATCCCACTTCTTTAACACGATTAGCACAAACATAGCGAGAAACGAGCAATGCCTTACAGAATTCTACCCAAAAGCAATCACGCACGCCCCTTCAAAGCTCGAAAACAATCGGAATCGAGGATCATTTTCAATTCGAGCACATCAGTCGATCCGATTCACATACTTTTCAGCGTAATGCAGCAAGTACAAGTAGACGAGCTTCTTCACTTCGAGGGACTGGGACGCGACGTTCTTGACGACCTGGGGGAAGAAGTTGGAGACGTTCTTGCCGTTCCCTTGGGGCTCCGCGGCCTCTAGGGCTGCGAAGGCCATGGGCGAGGAGGAGTCGCGGGAGGAAGCGCGGGTGGGAAGGGGTACCGAAAACCCTTAGCGAGCGCGAGAGGTTTGGGGGTGAGGGGGAGAGGGAAGAAGGAGAAGCGAGAAGGAGAAGGAGAAGCGGAAGCAGATCTGATATGATCAAGAAAGTGGGTGAGAGAGGGAGAACAGTGAGCGAGAGAGTGAGAGAGAAATTGGGGGCGAGGGCGGGGCTTTGGGATGCTCTTTTTTTAATTAAATTTGCGACGAGCTTTATATTTCGTCGCAAATTTTAGCGACGAACCTTTTAAGTTCGTCGCTAATTTGCGACTTATTTTGCGACGGATTCCAAAAATAAAAGGCATTTTCCAAATTCGTCGCAAATTTACGACGGAAGTGATCTTCGCGGCACATGGCGCCCATTTTTTCAAATCCGTCGCTAATTTGCAACGGAATTAGCGACGGAAATGTTTATACCGATCAATTTTTCGAATCCGTCGCTAATTCCGTCGGAACCTTGAGTAGATATGCTTCTTACAATGACACATTACTCATATTTGACGAATTAGTAATTGTCATGATCTAATTCGTCTAAGGGCGGCAAGTCTGGTGATGTTTTTTTTTTTTTTTCATTAGAGCAGCGGAGGAATGTCAAACAACTACGGGAGGTTGTTGCGAAATGGGCCGATGTGACTAGCATTACGAACACTGTGGAGAAACATGACTGATGTGGATGTCGTTATTACAAACAGATTCGATTGACGCTTTCTCAAATAACAATAGGGCTCTGATACCAAGTCATGAATGTAATAAAAAAAATTAAGAGCAATATATATATCATTGTCAAATGAAGGGTACACGAACCTATTTATCGGTTTTATAGGATGACTATCTAAAAGGGAAAATATCAATTACAATCAATTAAAGGAAATATAGGGAATCTTCTAAATATTTCTCTAATAGAATGCATGCCCTCTATTCACTCATCATTCGGATGTAACCCTTTAGAAATAATTCATCTAATTGGTTAGATCAAATTGGTTAGGTCTAAATAAGAATATCTCTTTTATATGATCTCCTATAGATATCCCCATATAGATACATTGACTTTACATTTCATACATCCACCCGATTCCGATCTATTTGAAAATTGCTATAATTTATTTACCCATATATTTACGCATACATAAGAGCTACGTGCGGAGGAAACCGCCATATTCAACTAAATAGATATCTGTGTTATCTATATCTAAGTCTTGAAAAAAAAGAAGATAAGATTTGCACCTATTGAATCTAAAAAAGCTTATTTGAGACGAGAACATTTTAAGAGATTATCTAATATCTTGAGTTTATAATAGATCTTCTTATCTAATTTGAATTTGTAATATCTAATCTCTTTTAGAATTGGACGTGTAGCAAATCGTCCAATCTCTTTTGAATTTGAACTTGTGACAATCATCCAATTCGTCTCTACTTTCGTCGCAAAATGGTAAATTTCGTTGCACAAATTAGCGACGGAAAATAAATTCGTCGCAAATTTGCGACGGAAAATTAGTCGTCGCTAATTTGCGACGAAAATTTTCCGTCGCAAATTTGCGACGGATTTATTTTCCGTCGTAAATTTGCGACGAAAAATTTCCGTCGCAAAATTCATGTTTTTTTGTAGTGAGAGGAACATACGGTTTTTGGGGGGTATAGAGGCTATTTATGTGAACCTGATTGTTCTTTTCATTTTTTGTGGGGCCATAAAAATGAATATGGCATTTCATCTAAATGTGCGTTCTCTTCATTGACATGCAGTAGAACTTGCTTATCAGCACGCGAATGTTCTTTTACAAGGAAACCCTTGAAGGGCTGGGAGAAAAATTGTGTGCCTAAGTGGTGAGAGCCTATTCTATTTCTATTCCAAATGATCAGATAAGGTAGTCTTACTTGCACCAGCCAAAATCAGTTCAATGCCTTGCCCGGCAAATCCCACTGTTTCCCGTTTTACATGCCATAATAACAATTCTGTCATGTTTTAAGACAAAGTTCAGTTGCATGACTTGTTAAGAATACTGTAAAATTCACTTAATTGATCCATCACCAATGGAAATGCGCTTTGCAAAAGTGGGAAGGAAATATCTTGAATTGTTTTAAACACTGCCTTGTCTAAGTTGGAATCTAGTTTTAACACAAAACATCAACAGTTTCTTCTTATTTTTTCAGGTGCAATTTCTGCCATCAAGGAAATAGTAGCACGATATGCCACAACTCAATACAACCCTCAGAAACCAAAAAAAAAAAAAAAATTGTCAGTGTTTTTAGCTTGAGCTTGGGGACATGATTCTGCAAGAGAGCATGTGAATTATTGCTAATAACCTTCTTTTAGCAAACAAACAAATTATGTTTTTTGGCACATGCTCTGTGAAGATATTAAACTACTAGTTTATTGACTTGTTGCTGATCTAATTTGCCGACTCTTTATCTCTGCAATTCCATAATTCACCTCCCAAAGTTAGCTTCCAAGTTTCTTGTACTAGCGGAAAATGATTGACTCGTTGAGGTTGCCCTGTGTGGTGCCAGTTGCTACCATTGTTGTTTCTGCTGTTCTGTTCAAAGATTTCTTCAAGACTAGACTAAGAGCATGTAAGATCACTGAAGAGGGCAGTCCAAATAATAATGCAGCTGTAAACCATGGAGTAGCGTGAACCGGGAAATTATCGAGTTATTTCACTAGAATTGCTACCACAACAAAATATGTTTCACCAAAAGTCGTTTGTCGGCTTTTAATGAGAGGAGATGGGTTCTATGGTAATTACGGACAAAAAATATCCAAGCAGACAAGAAGTAATTGCAAACTTTTACTTCGAACCAAACTATACGTACAAACAGGGCCGGAATTTAATGGATGACAAAGTTTGAAAATACAGCCACTTTCACAGGAACATGCATATACAAACTGTGCCGAAATTTAATCGATGACAAAGCTTAAGAACGTGCAAAGATGTAACGCCGGAATTTCATTGACGACGCCACACCCAAGATAGAAATACACGCCGGAATTTAATTGATGACGTGAATTTGGAAAGCTACGAAAAATAAAGTGCAGTACAGGAAAGTAGAGATAATTGAAAGATAACATTTTGATTAATTTGTGAGGGAGTCTCCGAAGAGTACGGTGTGACTATTTAAAACCTACAATCGATGGTTATTAATGAATGTCACAAAGAGAGGTTACAAACGGTGTCACGCCCCGAACCCCCATCGAGCTCGCGACATCCCACTCTGGTCGAATAATTGCGATGTCCCAGGAACATCGCCGACCCAACCCAAACATCAGAAACACATGCGGAAGCGAATACAAAAAAAACCCCTGACTTGAAAAGACGACAACGGGCAGATCATCAATCGTCAAAGAACAACAACATTCATCTTTATACAACGCTATTACACCACGCATACAAACAGAGTATTACAGCAAACTTAACAGACAAGCATTCGAACCACCGACATAACAAAAAGGATCAGGTGGCTTGGTTAACCTAGCTTCACTATAGGACAACCTATTCCGTGCAACCCCTAAATTACCCTAGGGAAACCTACTGGTCGCCCTCTTCCCTTCTGCTCCTGCGTCTTCTGGCTCAAGCCCCCGGAGGATCATCTGCAGCTCCACTGGGCACCATGGCGGCTCCCCGAACTCCAAAAGGAGAAGGCGGGTCTCCTAGATTTGCGACTGGGGGTCTGAAATTGTTGGTTACACAACCATGAGACGAATCTCAATAAGTGTACAACCCCAAACCCCACGTAGGCACTCACGTATCGCCAGACGAAAACACGCATAACACACGACAATCAATCAAACTAACAACCACACACGACCTTACCTGGAATCCATCATACACGTCCCTGCACGTTAGACAATAACACAGCCAACATATCACAGCAATGAATCACAGACGCGCACGTGCCTCACTTATAAGATAAAACCCACTTGGGCACGTCCCATACCGTGCCTAGCAGTTTTTACCCCATAATTAAGCATCACCTCACGCAATACAAACACATTCGCACACTGACTCACACCACGCATCACTTTCGCAAACCTCGCACCTTAAGCCAATTCCTGCTCATTCTCAACTTTTCCACCACTACCGCGCCCGCTTAAAACGCATCAGGCCAACGGTCTTCTGACCTCGTCAGGCATTGTCACCCCGTCGGGCCGGGCATCGTCACCTCGTTAGGGACGGCATCGTCCCGCGTAAATGTATACACCTCAGGACGGGATCCTACACACACTTTCCTTCTACCACGCCTGCGTAAAACGCATCAGGCCAACGGTCTTCTGACTGCGTCAGGCATCGTCACCCCGTCGGGCCGGGCATCGTCACCTCGTCAGGGACAGTATCGTCCCGCGTAAACATACACGCCTCAGGACGGGATCCTACACACACTTTCCTTCTACCGCGCCCGCGTAAAACACATCAGGCCAACGGTCTTCTGACTACTTTAGGCATCGTCACCCCGTCGGGCCGGGCATCGTCACCTCGTCAGGGACGGCATCGTCCCGCGTAAACGTACATGCCTCAGGACGGATCCTTTACAACAAATCCTACATTTCCATACCCTCGTTCCACTCAAACCACTCTACATACGACCAACAACCGCACGACCAAACATACACATTTCACACACATTTCACAATTCACGTCCTCATTACACGAACACACCACCCAATCACACATATTTAGCACACGAACTCAATGCGCGTTCACATTACCACGCCACCATACCTCACAGCCATACGCATACGGCACACCACCAATCCACAATCAGTCCAGAACACATTCCAAATCAGTCCACAAACACAACCAGCACAAACATTCCAATCAGTCCATTCAAGCCACGATAATTCCAATCAATTACACAAATTACCCGCGATCGCTCCACACATCACAGCCATCATCGAGCCTCCAAATCCTCACAAATTTCTTCGCCAAATCAATCCCCAAATCAGCCCACGACAACCAAATACCAGCCTTCATCTCAGCCCCCAAAATAGCCACATAAACCCCTAAACCGAACCCTAACCATGTCCTATGATACCCGAAGTCCTAGGTAGTTTTTGGGGAAGACACTTACCTAAGAAAAACGGGGCAACTCGACTGGACAGAGGCAGGGACAGCCGGAACAGCAGCGGCGGCGGCGGCGGTGCACAGACG